CTCAAACCTAGCACCCAGGTTGATATTCTATTAGGAGTCTGAAGAAATTTTATTGAATGAGAAATTCTATATAGAAGCAATGTTTCAAAAATGCCCATTCTGGGCCGGGTGCGGTGGCTCACGACTGTAATCCCAGCATTTTGGGAGGCCGAGGTGGGTGGATCACGAGGTCAAGAGATCGAGACCATCCTGGCCAACATGATGAAACCCCATCTCTACTAAAAATACAAAAAAATTAGCTGGGCGTGATGGCACGCACCTGTAGTCCCAGCTACTCGGGAGGCTGAGGCAAGAGAATTGCTTGAACCTGGGAGACAGAGGTTGCAGTGGGCCGAGATTGCACCACTGCACTCCAACTTGGCAACAGAGCAAGACTCCGTCTCAAAAAAAAAAAAAAAAAAAAAGCCCATTCTTTAGCAGTCTGTGTGTAAGCAACAGCTTCACTTTTCAGTGATATTTGTTTATGTTTTGAGACAGGATCTCGCTCTGTCATCCAGGCTAGAGTGCAGTGGCACGATCATAGCTCATTGCAGCCTCGACTTCTTGGGCTCAAGCGATCCTCCTACCTCACCCTCTCAAGTAGCTGGGACTACAGATGTGCGCCATTACCCCCAGCTAGTTTTAAAAAAATTGTGGAGAAGGTGGGGGGTTGTCTCGCTATGTTGCCTAAGCTGGTCTTGAACTCCTGGCCTCAAGCGATCTTCCCACCTCAGCCTCCCAAAGTGCTGGGATTACAGGTGTGAGCTACTGCACCTGGCCTCAGTGATATTTATACATAAGCCTATATAAAATGTTTAGGGCTCAGTTTCCTGATTAAAATAGAAGGACTTTCAAAATGATTTGGTGGTGGTTGATCATTTCTTTTTCTGTTTACATGATTTCCTTAGAAAGAAAGCTTCCCAATTGTTAGGGTTCAAATTACAGGGTGTTTGCATTCTTTCCTAATTTCTTTCAAAGGATACATACGTCATGTCAAGGGCAAAGATCAAGGTGCCTTAAGTGCCTAGCGGGGTGAAACCTTGGGACCTACCAAGGGCAGACATTAAACGGAGACATACTGAAAAGGATAGGATAGCACATCAGTCTGTTCAGAACAGTGGTGGATAGTGTACAATGATGGATTATTAGATAATGAGCTACAGACAACAAAGCATTTGAAGGCACGTGAGAGGGTTATAAATGGACCCGTGTATAATTGAGGACATTTTCCCCTTTCCATAATAACACTCTGCATCTGCTTGGCACTTCATAGCTCCAAGTTCTTTCACATAAATTACTGTAGCAAGCAGTTCAGTGCTCATTGACATCCCTTTATTCCCCATCCTGATCTTGTTCCGGTGGCAGCCATCTGGTCCCATCTGGCCCAGGGAATGAACCATGACTGGTCCGAGTCACAGGTTCTCAGCTTTGATTACACAGTAGGGTCATCTGGGGAGCTTTTCAAACATCCCAGTGCCTGGGTCTGGGAACTCCACTCCAGACTACTTAAATCAGAATCTCGGGGTGGAGCTCAGGCATTGGCATTTCAAAAAATATAATAAAAAAGCTCCTCAGGTGAATGTAATGTTCAGTCACGGCTGAGAACCGCTGGTCTAAGCCAATCACAATGCTCCCATTCCCTTTCACCAATGATTGGGCTAGGACAGGCTGTGTAACCCAGTTTTAGCTAATGAGATGTAAAGGGAAGTCAGTTGGTAAAGGGGGTTCTGGGAAAGGTTTTATAATTTATCAAGGCTGGGTGCAATGATTCACATCTATAATCCCAGCACTTTGAGAGGCCAAGGCGGGCAGATCGCTTGAGCTCAGGAGTACGAGACTAACCTGAGCAACACAGTGAGAGCCCCCACTCCCCGTCCCATCCCCAATCTTTGCAAAAAAAATTTTATTTTAATGAGATGGAGTGGTGGTGTGCACCTGACCTGTAGTCCCAGCTACTTGGGAGGCTGAGGTGGGAGGATTGCTTAACCCTGGGAAGTTGAGGCTGCAGTGAGCCATGACACTGCACTCCAGCCTGGGTGACAGAGTGGATGTGGTGGTATGCACCTGTGAGCCCAGCTGCTTGGGAGGCTGAGGTGGGAGGATCACTTGAGCATGGGAGGAGGAAATTGCAGTGAGCCAAGATCACAACACTGAACTCCAGCCTGGGTGACAGAGTGATAGCATCCTCTCAAAAAAAAAAAAAGAGCATGGCAGGAGGAAAAACCCCTCCACCCTTAACCGGCTAGATAGCTTCCTTCCTTTCTGTATTTTAATAACCCTGTGTCATTGTGTGAAGATGTGATGCTTGGAGCTGTGGCTACCATCTTGTGCCAGTGGGAAGATAAGCTGGTGAATAAAAGCCAAGATGTAAAAGAGAGAAAGGGCCTAGGTCCTTGGTGACTTGGTTCAGGGTGCTACGGCCCTCACCCAGACCAGAAAAAACTTCACTGACTCCCTCACTGCCAAATCCTGGCCATTGGGTATGGACCATCCAGAAGTTACTCAGGTTAATTCACATGTGGCCTCTCTCCTCAGTTGAGCCGAGGGCATCCTGAGATGCCCTGTGGGGAGGATGGCTGTAAAGTCATCGGCTTTCCTGTGTAGGCACTGTTGGCAGCTCAGGGAGATTTTATTTGTTCAGTGGTTGGGACATATTAGTAATAAAGCTGAGTGTATTTTCCACCTCATACGAGCCTGGCTGGAGCATAGGGGTGCTGCCAGGGAATGCCAAGGCGGGGAGCAGGTGAGGTATAAAAGAGAAGATTATGAACTCTGGAGTCCAACACCAAACACTGTTCCACCCTCACCAGCCCAGGTATGACTTTGGGCAAATTACTTATCTGAGTCTCAGATTCCTCATCTGGAAAACTGGTATAAATAATGATATATGTACAATGCCTAACTCAGTGCATGACACATAGCCCTTTGGTAAGGATCCATCCTCCTCCCTTCTCCTCCTCCCTTCTCTAGAGTAGAGCGTGACAAACTTTTGGAAAACCCATCAGTGTGTCGGCAGTAACGTTATCTTCCTAGGAACCAAGAATACAAGCATTGTAATCAATCCACTGATTGGTGGTAAGTGCCCAATGCGGGACGAAGGACTCAGTCACTAAAGTCTGGAAGAGCCTAAAGCTTGCTCCCAGATGTCCCTGCAGCCCTGCAAAGGAAACCCTGTCGGCCTTCCAAACAGCAACACCAGTGTCTTCCCTCACAGTCACTGTCACCCACACAGACTCTAACTTCCTAGAGGGCAAAGACTGTCCTCTACCCTCCTCTCTATTCTCTTTAATGCTTCACCCCAGCCAGTACTCAAACAGATGTTAGTAAAAATGAAAAAAAAAAAAAAAAAAAAAAGCACAAGTTTCTGGGAGATTGTCATGTCTTAAAGCCATAAATGCACAGCATTCGCCCAGGGGAGGAGTTCCCTGAGGCCTGTGAAGAAGGGTTAGGGACAATTACTGTTGCATCTGTAAATACAGGATCAGCAGATGAAAGGATGTTTTTGTTAAGATGTGACAAGTCACCCTGTGCCTTACCTTCCAACACTCTGGATATCAGGAAAGAACACAGACTTCCTAGCAATTACAGAAACTGACTAAGAAAACCATTTGATTACTGGGAGAAAACTTAGTTAGCCAGCTTCTGAAATCACTCTGAAACCCTGGTTCTGTAACAACAACAAAGTCCCTCTTCATTAATATCTTCAACGTTTGTCCTCAGAGCTTCATCTCAGGGGAATGCTGAATTACACTATGAAATAATGAATGGAAACTTAACTCACTTCCGCCCACCCAGCACTGCTTTTCCTCCTCCTCTGGACTGACTGCACAGCGCAGAAGGCGGCACCCTTCCAACTCACACAAAGTTCGGGAAACACACTCCCATGTCACTGACTCCTATGGTCAGCACTGTGCAGAGCAAACCCTTCCCTCAGGCCATACACTGACCCACACAGAACACATCTTGAGACTGTTTCAGCACCACTTTAGCATCTTCAGCTATGCAGAGAAAAAAACAAAAATGAAAAAAACAACAACAAAAAGGAGGGGGCAGTGTCTTTTCACAAAGCTCCTCCTGCAGTGACAAACTGCTACTGCCAATTGAAGGCACCATCTGTCAAACGGATGGGGTGGAGTGGGGGACACCCACCCCTGAGGTCTTGTCGACACTAGAGGAAGCTGATGTGAATGGGATATGGTCATATATCCTGCAAACGCCAGCTACAGGGAGAAGGGGGAAGGGAGAGAAGGAGGGGAAGGGGGAGGTGGAGGAAGAGAGGGAGAGGGGAAATGGGAGAGGGAAGGAGGGGGAGGGGAGACAGAGAGGCGCATATGAGCCAGGGGAAAGCAAGTCTATTCACTACACAAGCGCCTGCGACACACAATATGCAAGAAGTGTTGCAAGAGCCGCCTGACTGTGCCTGCATGCTTGGAAACTCAGGAGAAAAGCCCTGGAGCCTGCGCATAAAACAGAGAAGAAAAACGAAACAGAAAGATTAGGGATAGGCAGGGTTAGAATCAACGCCTTTCCACCAAACTCTCTGCTTTTGGCTTTCTCTGTGCCTATAAACACCATTGCAAAGTCTCCTTACAGGACAAACTGGCATCAAGATAACTCCATAATCATCAACCTCAAACGGTTTCCGAAATCCTATACTCCACATGTCAACTCCCAGTCTCACGGTTCATTATGACTATTTCAAGCCTTCTCTACTCTCCTCAGCCCTCTGAAACCTCCTACTTCATACCGGGGAATGGGAGTGCGGAGACCTGGCTTCCACCTCAGTCACGCTTAAATATCCTCTCTCATCTCGGGATCTCCCTCTAAGGAGGCGCAAGGCTAAGCTGGAGATTCCGATGAATCTACCAAATTCTACGAGCAGGACTTTCCCATCCTCTTGAACCTGATCTGACAGGATGGGATCCAGGATGGTACCCTCCCCTCTACACTTCCCATCCCCAGGCCATTCCAGGCTCCCGGAAGACCAGTCCCGGTCCCTGACTTGCCCCGGGCCACCTTACCCGGATCCGTGCCGGGGACAGGGATGGGAGGCTACGTGGCGCTATCGGCATCCATCTCCAGCGGCGTCTCCCCGTCCCTGGGCGGCTCCACGTCGCCCTCCTCTCCGCTGCGAGGGTAGGCAAGCAGACGCATGGCTGGAGCGCAGGCGGCCTCCACCTGGCGCACCTGCTCTCGGCTCAGGCGCTCGCGCCAGGCGTGCACCGCCTCGCGGGCGTCGCGCGCTGACAGGTGGAAGGGCCGGTCGGCGCCATAGGCCGCGCCGCGAGTCATGTTGAGCGCGAAGGCGTCGAGCGCTGCGAGCGCGCGCAGCCCGGAGAAGCGCAGCAGGCGGCGCAGCTGGGCGCGTGGCTGCCGCACCAGGTCCTCATAGCGCAGCCTAAGGTAGCGGCGCCGTAGCCAGGCGGGCGCACCGCGCGCGAAAAGTAGATCCCGCAGCCAGGCTTCGCAGATCACCTCGAGCGCACCGGTCAGGAAGAAATCGGCGCGCGGTGCGGCAGGCAGCGCGCGAGACTGGCCCCCGGGGCGAGCACCCACGCCGTGCGCCAGCAGCACACGGTGGAAGCGGTCGCCTCTCTGGCGGGTGCGCAGCACCTGGATGCTCTCGCGCAGCAGTCCCTGCCTAGACTTGAGGCGCGAGTTGTGCACCGCCCTCGGGTCGCGGAAAAGCTGCACCACCTTCAGGTTGAGGCCTGGGTCACGCAACAGGGGCACCAGCACGCCCAGATCGAGCAGGCGCACGTCCTTGATGACCACCACCGGGTACTTTCGGCACTCGGCCTCCAGGGCGCGTATCGCCACGGGTGGGCAGCTGCGCTCGCAGGCGGTGTCCTCGACGAGGCCCACCTCGGCTCGGGCACGGGGCGCGCCAGGACACAGTGGCGGCGAGCAGATGACCTTGTTAGTCCGCCAGCGGAAGAGAGCGGCCGTGGTAAGATTGGCCGTGTCCGGGGCGCGCGCAGCGGGGTCCCCCGGCGGTGCGTACAGCCGCAGCACGGAGAAGTCGCAGCGGAAGAGCGAACGCAGCATGTCGCGCAGCGCGCCCTGCAGGCTCTCGGCATCGCCCGGATACAGCGCCTGCCATAGATGCCACATAGGCTCATACAAGTAGAAAACGTCCGGGTGCTGGTTAAAGAGTTCGCCCAGGAAGGACGAGCCGGTGCGCCAGGTGGCATGCACGTAGATGTGCTGCTTCTCGCGAGACACCGCCTCCCCGACAGCGCTGCTGAGGTTGCTTGGGGATCGAGGGGACTGGCTCGCGCCCCCTTCCGCGGCGGCCCGCGCCTCTGCGCCCTGCTCGCGTTCGCCGGCCGCCGCCGCCTCCAGGCTCCACACTCCCAGGCTGCGCTGCAGGCCAGGGCAGTGCCCGGCGCCCTTGTCCCCGTCGCGGCCGCCGTCCAGTACGGAGGGGACGAGCAACAGCACCAGCGTGTACAGCACCAACAGCAGCGCGAACTTGCAGTACTCTCGGCGTCGCCGCCGCCGGCCCTTCATCGTTCACCGACCCGCCAGAGTGGGTCGGGCGCCAGTTTTCTCCCGTTCCTCAGAAATCCCGTCCTGGGTCCGCTCCTGTGGCCTCTCCCGGCCCCTGTGTGCCGGGAGGAGCAGAGCCGCGGGGCCGCGCATCCACGAGGGGAAACTTGGAAGGCGGTGGTGCTACTGACTGCGCCCCTGCCCTCTCCGCTCAGCCGCCGGAGAGCCGCCTATTGGCCGACTTGGCAGCCGCCCGCCCCGCCTTTCTGCCCGCCTGGGTTCGCCCACGGCTCTGCCAGATCTGGGCGGGGCTGTAGCGGGGCTGGGACTCGGGCTCACCGAGCCAGACCCCCACCTTTCCCCAAACCCTCCGTAGTGAAGCCTTCATCAATAACTTCAGGCAAAGGAGGTACCTGTGTGTACAGAATGTACCCAGTAAAGGGCCATAGACCCCACCCGGAGAAGGCCACTGCCTCTTCTGTTTTATGTCCCCTGCCTAGCCATCGCTATCCTAGGCGGATAACCACTCGCCACTATCTACATCCAGCGCCCCCATCAGCCCTGGAGTGGATGTTACTGAGTTCTGGAGTAAAAGATACAAGATTGAACGTGGCAGAGTGGTCCAGGGGAGTTGGAGATACTACTGCATTCACGCAGCACCTTTCATAAAGTCTAGCCTTTGTGAAGTTCTAAGTGTTGTGTTCCGTAGGGTTTTTCACCAGCTGATGGGCTCTGCACATTTTACCAATACTCTGGGGTCCAGTTTGGTCATTTGTAAAATGTGAATAATTCTCAGTACCCATGTACCTCCTGGGATTGCGAGATTTGGGGGTTGTTACCACAGTATTACCCAGCCTATGCTGACACCTATGAACAAAAGACATTTACAGAATCAAAGTGGTAGAATGGTGACCTTTCTCCGGAGCTTGGTGTTTAAAAGGACCTGTAAGGAGAAACGTGTACCCAAGGATAGATGGAAAAGGGACAGGAAGTCCAAGAGGCAGATGAAGACTAGAGTCACTAAAATTCAAAACAGAACCAAAAAAGATACATTTTGCTCTGTTCATCAGGCCAATGAATAAGGAAGTGAGAGCTTTCACCAGCTTGGGGAAGGCATTGTAAAGTTAACAAAACATAGAAAGCATATCTACTCATCTCCACCAGGGGAAGGTGTTCAGATTGGAAGAGAGAACATCTGCAATGCTCCCCACTGGTCTTTTTCATCACGGAAGTTACTCCACCTGTGAAATCACTGACTCAAGTATTTCGTTTTCTTTCCACAATTCCCCTCTTCTTCCAGCCAGTTGTTCAAATCTTCCCTATTCTCCAACCTCCACTTTTTGACCACCACCCCCACTTTCTTCTCAATTTTTCATATTCAGCGGAAAGATGCCATACTATTATTTTAATAACACTCCCTCCAATAAGCTAAACTCATGTGCCCTCTGCCTTTTCATTACTCATCTAGCAAAATCCCCCAAACCCTGCTTTTGGCTTTCTCTGTGCCTGCAAACACCATTGCAAAATATTTCCCCACAGGTGTGAGCCAGGCACAGTGGCTCACGCCTGTAATCTCAGCACTTTGGGAGCCCACAGAACAGATTGGCATCAAGATAACTTCATAATCATCAACCTCAAATGAATGCTGAAATCTTATGTTCTTCATGTCACTTCCCAGTCTCAAGTTCCATTATGTTGATTTCAAACCTTCTCTAGTCTCCTCAGACTTCTGATACCCCTCTTCCCCCACCCACCACTTCTCAGCACTTACCTCCTACTTCATAAAGAAACCATGTTAGACAATCTCTCACTTTTCCACTATCAAACTCATATGCATTGACCTCTGTACACATCTCCTTTGTAGCAAGGATATGATTTTACAATATTAATATACAACTTTCCCTTCTGTTTTCACTTTTCCCTCCTCTCTGGCTTGGTGGGTTTTTTTTTTTTTTTTTTTTTTTTGAGACAGAGTCTTGCTCTGTCGCCCAGGCTGGAGTGCAGTGGTGCGATCTTGGCTCACTGCAAGCTCCACCTCCCAGGCTCACGCCATTCCCCTGCCTCAGCCTCCCCAGTAGCTGGGACTACAGGCGCCCGCCACCACACCCGGCTAATTTTTTGTATTTTTAGTAGAGACGGGGTTTCACTGTGTTAGCCAGGATGGTCTCGATCTCCTGACCTCGTGATCCGCCCGCCTCGGCCTCCCAAAGTGCTGGGATTACAGGCGTGAACCACCACGCCCGGCCCTCTCTGGCTTTTAAAAAAGTTTTATTTTGAGACAGGATCTGGCTCTGTCACCCAGGCTGGAGTGCAGTGGCACTATCACCGCTCACTGCAGCCTCAACCTCTCAAGTCCAAGCGATTTTCCTACCTCAGCCTCCCAAGCAGCTGAGACCACGGCATGTGGACACCCAGCTAATTTTGTTTGTTTGTTTTTTGTAGAGACTGGCGTCTCTATGTTGCCCAGGCTGGTCTCGAACTCGTGGACTCAAGTGTTCCTCCCACTTCGGCCTTGTGCTGAGATTACAGGCCTGAGTTACTGTGCCCGGCCTCCTATCACCTTTTAAGCAAGTAGGTGGCTCTGTGCTGGTGTGAGGGGAAAGGTGTGGCTGGGCAGAATGCAAATAGTTGCTGGTGTTTGTTTTCCCGTTTGTTTTCCCCAAAAGCCTCAACTCCGGTAGCAGAAAATGTGACAGGTTTTTTAAATAACCACTAAGTATTCCCCTCCTCTGTTTTGCCCTTGGGCAATGACTTCCCATACTGACTCTGGGGTGACCATGTGGCTTGCATTGGCTTGTGGGACAGTAGCAAACATGACACAGCAGAGGTCTGAAAAATGCTCCTGCTGTGGGAATTGCCCTCATCCTGCTCTTTGGAACCCTGAGATCGGCTGGTGAAGAAGCCTGAGTTAGCAACATGGCTCAGAAAATAAGCCCTCCCAGCTGAGGCTCCCCACCTCCCAGACAAGCAAGCCTGCTGACTGCCAGACAGGTGAGAAAGGAGAGCCTCCACCAGTACTTCTCAAACTTGAATGCTTGAAGGCTCCTGTCAAAATGCAGAAAGTGGGCCGGGCCCAGTGGTTCACACCTGTAATCCCAACGCTTTGGGAGGCTGAGGCGGGTGAATATCCTGAACCCAGGAGTTCGAGACCAGCCTGGGCAACATGGTGAAACCCCATCTCTACCAAAAGTACAAAAAAAATGAACCGAGCATGGTGGTGTGCACCTGTAGTCCCAACTACTTGGGAGGCTGAGGTGGGAGGATCACTTGAGCCCAGGAGGTGGAGGTTGTAGTGAGCCTGGGTGACAGAGTGAGACCTCATCTCAAAAAAAAAAAAAAAAAAAAAAGCAGAAAATGATTCATTACACCTAGGGTGGGGCCAGAGAGACTACATTTCCTTCTTCTTCCTACCCCTCCCCCTCCCCCTCCTCCTCCCCCTCCTCCTCCCCCTCCTCCCCCTCCTCCTCCCCCTCCTCCCCCTCCTCCTCCCCCTCCTCCCCCTCCTCCTCCCCCTCCTCCCCCTCCTCCTCCCCCCTCCTCCTCCCCCTCCTCCTCCCCCTCCTCCTCTCCCTCCCCCTCCCCCTCCTCCTCCTCCTCCCCCTCCTCCTCCTCCTCCCCCTCCTCCTCCTCCTCCCCTCCCCCTCCTCCTCCTCCCCCTCCCCCTCCTCCTCCCCCTCCTCCTCCCCCTCCTCCTCTCTCTCTGTCACCCAGGCTAGAGTGCAGTGGCGTGATCATAGCTCATTGCAGCTTCAGCTTCCTGGGTTCAAGCAATCCTTCTCATGCCTGGCTAATTTAAAAAAAAAATTTTTTTTTAGGCCGGGCGCGGTGGCTCACGCCTGTAATCCCAACACTTTGGGAGGCTGAGGCAGGCGGATCACGAGGTCAGGAGTTGGAGACTAGCCTGGCCAATATGGTGAAACCCCGTCTCTACTAAAAATACAAAAATTAGCCAGGCATGGTGGCACACACCTGTAGTCCCAGCTACTTGGGAGGCTGAGGCAGGAGAATTGCTTGAACCCAGGAGGCAGAGGTTGCAATGAGGCGAGATCACACCACTGCACTCCAGCCTGGGTGACAGAGTGAGACTCCATCTCAAAAAAAAAAAAAATTGTAGGCCAGGCACGGTGCCTCATGCCTGTAATCCCAGCACTTTGGGAGGCCGAGGCAGGCGGATCACGAGGTCAGGAGATCGAGGCCATCCTGGCTAACACAGTGAAAACCCGTCTCTACTAAAAATACAAAAAAAAATTAGCCGGGCCTGGTGGCGGGCGCCTGTAGTCCCAGCTACTCGGGAGGCTGAGGCAGGAGAATGGCGTGAACCTGGGAGGTGGAGCTTGCAGTGAGCTGAGATCGGGCCACTGCACTCCAGCCTGGGTGACAAAGCGAGACTCCGTCTCAAAAAAAAAAAAAAAAAAAATTGCAGGGTCTTGCTATGTTGCCCAGGCTGGTCTTGGACACCTGGCCTCAAGCAATCCTCTTGCCTCATCCTCCCAAATTGCTGGGATTACAGGCTTGAGCCACTGCACTGGGTCCTGAGACCACATTTCTTATAAGATCCTGGGTGCTTCTGATGCTCCTGGTCTGAGGACCACACTTAGAGTAGAAAGATGCTACACCTTCCTGCTCTAACTGAGCTGACCCACCAAATTGTGAGAAATAATAGATGTAAGTTTTAGGGGTTTGTTATGTAGCAAAAGCTAGCTGATATAAAGAACGTGTGAGGGCTTAGACGAAATGTTTTGGAGAAGCAAAGGAAAGAGCAGCAGCACTCTAGTGCCCCCAACCCCACTGAGACATTTTCCCTAGGCTGGGAGGGGTGGGCAAAGAGAGAGAGAAGTCTATGGATCCTGCAGCCCAGAGCACCTGAACTCCTTCCTGGCGATGTGTCAGGGCAGAGCAAGAGTCAAAGAGAAGTGGCCACATAGTTCAGCTTGACAGAGACGATCAGGGGCACTGTGCTAAACCTTCCTGGGCCCCAGGCACAGCTTGGAAGCAGCAGAAGGGTCAAGTGACAGTGACGGAGACATTTCAGGGCAACTAGGTGAGCCAAAACCCAATGATTCTAAGACCCCAGATCAAGAGTACAACCTTGGGAGTAGAGGAACCCTAGGAATTAATAAGGTCAATCAGTGGTCTGTCATCCTAGCAGAAGGAAAACTCAATCTGAATTAAAGTTGTTTTCTATTAAG